CACTGGGCAGGACGTTTGTTCGCAACCGACAATTATCTTGGGTAGTAGTTTTCAGATCAATCAGAAGATAACCAAAAGGTCTTTTTACAGCCTCCTCGTACAGATTTAAAAAGAAATCCGTCTGCCCGGGATACATTTGCTTCGCCAGAGTCAAGATTTGCAATTTGTCTCGTGGATTCTTGAATAACACCAGATAATGGCTGTTTAGGCTTATGGTGCGGCTACCTTTCCCCTGATGAAATAGATTCTGCACGATATGAATCACGCTCAGATTGCGATGATGAGAACCACGAGTAAAGAGGTTCACAATTCGCTTGTCTTTACTGGCGTCAATCATCTGATCATCAAACACGATCAAATTCCGTTTGTTCACTTCAAAATAGGAATCCTGCTCCAAAGCCGTAGGAATTCCCTTGACGAATTCAATGTGTGGCATGGCGACTAACATTTGTGCATACGCAGGCTGCCATTGTGAATAACACCAAACGATCCTCTCCGGGAGGGGGGGGGGGGTAAATGGTCTCTGAAGCTTGTTGTAATAGAGATCGAACCCAGGCCGTTTTTCCGGACCGGGTCATTCCGGCAATTATGGAGGTGAAAGGATGCTCGAAGCGAAACCGCTGACATTTCTGTGAAAACATTAGAACTGTTTTAAATGGGGCCAGACCAGCATTGCGGTGTTTGAACATCATGTGCCTTTGCATATTATTTTTTCTATTGAAGGATTTTTCGCAGACAGAACAGAGGCAACTCATTTCCACTCCTCAGGAGCAAAATGTAGACTGAGAATAAGTTAGAATGTTGCGCATTTATATAGGTTTTCATTGTTTTCCCTCCTCCTGATTTCTATTGTTTTTCCTCCTCCTCCTCCGCCTCCTCATTTTATTGTTTTCTATCCTTCGCCCACTCGTTTCATTTTTTTTCTTTGTCCAAGAGATTCTATAAAAGACTGCCAACTGCCATCTTTAGTTCATTTTGAAGCAGTGTCTCGTGTAGTTCGTCTATCTTGGCCTGAGAAAATTCGAGTGATTTTTGCAGTTCATTATAATTATTTTGAAGATCTTAGACAGTTAGTGTTGTTCTCGATTCTCTTCAAAGCGATCCACACGTCGAGAAGGGATGGATTAGTGTCGTCTTGCTTGTCCGCAGAGCACGCCATTGCAGACACGTCAGCATCCGCAGGATTCCGTTTTGCTTCATGCTTCGGTGAATTGTCGCTACTTGAAGAACTGCTTAGCTCATTTCTTCTTCTAGTTCTTCCCATTGCTGCTAAGTTTCGTTTCAAATGGTACTATAAAGAGAAAAAAAAACCTCTCGCTCCACGGAGCTCATTCTGACATGACCGACCTCACTCGTCGCTCGACCCATCTCGAAAAGTATAGTTTTATACCTACGTTTTAGCGACAACGGCAAATCTCCCAGAATTTAGTCGTCGACGAAGGCTAGACGACGTTTTGACAACCTTACGCATAGTCAAAACAGGCGTGATCACATTACGAGCGATAGAAAGACCCAACGATTTGTGATCAAATTGTGTTCTGTGCATTCCATTCATTGTTAGTGTAAGTCCAAACGAATGTTGGCTACATACATGCGACGCATGCGTAATAACAACCCGGAGATTAGGATTACGGGCTCCTCTTCTCGCTCGCAATAGCCCACGTTCGATATATTAAAATTCTAACATGACCTCGAGGCTTTCTGGTCATTTTTCTATATTTGGTTTCGTTTTCTTTGTGTTCAAGTCTCTTTTGGGAATTGCGAGACAACGGAGTTTTGAAAACTTTACGATTTTTAAGCTAAATATCTTAGGGTATCTTTTTACATAAACATAATCGGTAATCTGGTTTTCTACCAATATTCAATGTTTTGTTCAAGTACCATATGAAATGAAAAAACTTAGACAATAATGCATTTCACGTTATAACTGATACCAAAACGATCTATTTATAAGCAAAATGTGTCTTTTGCATCAAAAAGCTTAACTATAACATTCATGTATCTGGACCTATCACAGCCAATTGAAGACGTCACAGGTTCACGACAGCGCCACAAGCCATTAATTCATAATCTTTTATTATGTCATAAACGATTGAGAAACCCGTTGGACATAGTGCGATATGCAGTCCAACGGGTCAAAAAAACATTCTGACGTTGCATTTGCAACCTCCAATTTTTCTCCCGAAAAAAAGCAAGACCATCTCCACTGGCAGGAGCCCCATCTCCCATACAAGCCCTTGGAGTCAACCCTTTCCCGAGTAGATTTATAATTAGAACGGTTCCCAGGGGAGACTTCGCGCGCCGACGGTGGGAAGAGCCAATCACAACGACGAAATGACACTGCTATTGTACTTCACCAAACAGCAGGAAATTTGGTGTTGACAGGCCAAACACAATCATAAGCTAGTGAAACGTGACTTAAGCGTTTTCATCGCTCGGAGATTTTCTTTCTTTTCTTTCTAGCGGGTAGATTATACTGTGGAGAGTTTTACACTCTGACTATGTTAATCTTAATTTTGGTTGCTTGTCTCACATTAAGAGGCCATGAAGCTGGTCTGTTACATGCATAATGATTAACTACTACCTGCAGTCTGTAGTTCTGACAGGATTCGTTTTCTTTAAGCAATTTTTTTGAGCGTTAAGGTTCTCATTTCGGCTAAACGACTCAATATTAATCAAATTTCTAGTTTTTCAAGGCTTTTTTTTTTCCGAAATGCGTTTATCTGAATAAATACTTGTAGTCCTTGCGGTTGTTTTGCCCGTCAGCTAGTGTGATGATTCCCTGCTATGTTTTGTAACGCCGGTCCCAGCCATTGTGTTCTCGCAAAAAAGTGATCTACAGATGCGAATTCGAAGGAAAGAATTGAGCCTAAACTTCTACATTAACTGCTGAGAATTGTCCTGTTAGTCAGTCATAATTCTTTTGGCGCAGATACAATCCATTTTGTTTTTCTTGAGATAAGTGGGTCTTTGGACTTGAGCGTGATGTCACAAATTCCTCCGTTAGCAAATTATTCACGGTGGAGCAACTGTTGTCTTCTGTTCAACTTTTCAAGTGCCAGTTTTATCAGGCAACCCTCATGGTGATACAAGTCAGTTGTAAAGGAAGACTGCAATTTCTCAAATTTCGGCACTGAAGCATTCCTCGTTAGTTGCTACTTAGGTCGTCGCTTTTGCACGCGGTGCTTATAACTGGCGAAATCCACTCCACGGTGATGACAAAGATCAAATAATCCTGGCACTTTTTCGGCGCTGATCATCGACAAATTCCAAATCGTCCACAGAACGCTTAATCGTCGACTCTTTTCAAGGTGCATGCTTAAATGTGGTATGTATGGCGGCAAAAAAAAACACTCGCAAAGATAACCTTTCCGTGATCCTCAGTTCGCTGCCTTTTTCCTATCGCTTCATGCTCAGTCTCAGTCGGGTAATTCATTAACTTTTATTTCATGACACCCAGATCCCAGCGGCTGTAAAATTGTAAAAATGGACGTATAGTAAAAAAGGAAAACGGTCGAAGGACGGGCTTCTGAACTCGACTTCATCCGACTTCATTTTTTTCACGGTGACATACGAGACTCACGGAAATATGACACTTTTCGCGGGAAACAAGCCGTTCTATTTATAAATCTACTCGGGAAAGGGTTGACTCAAGAAATTAATGGAGATGGAGGCTCCATTTGATGGGCTCCTACCACTGGCAATAAGATCACACTCAACAAAGAAANCCCCCCCCCCCCCCTTCCCCTTTGCCTGTTCCACGGTTGGAGTAAAGTGAGGTAGAACAAGCGATAAATCTTTTTTCAAATATAAGGTATTTCCTTCAGGTTTTTAGAATTAAAATGTTATGAAAAAGAGTCCCATTAGCAGCTCGAAGCAACTAAATGCCCAAAGCTGTAAATAATTAATAAGAAAACAAGCCTTACAAGGAAGCTGTGTGAGACAAAATAAAAATTCATAATTTTTCAGCTTTGTTAAAATTGAAGGTTTTTAGCTTTAACCTTTAGTTACAAAAGATAGCCAGTTCCCTGTCTAGTTGTGAATTCTAATTAGTGTAATACTGCATGGGGTTGTTGTTGTTTGAGTTAAATTCATTACGTGCGGACGCTTGTCTGATCCCCAGAGGCAAGCTGTTCCACAGCACAGCTCCACTATCCTGAGCGTCTATAGAACACAGGCTCTTTCACAAAATACGGTGCTGAGCTGAGGAACGGCAAGCCCACAGTCACCTGTAGTCTTTTAAGGCAGCAACTAAAGGCGAACTCCAAAATAAGAGGAGTAGAGCAAATCCTCATCAGCAAATACACCAATGAATCCTTTCCCAGGATAGATTTGTCGGTTCCTTTGATGTGCCATGCTCTGAGTGATCTCGGATCGCTGATCCTGATCCAGATCACCCCAATGGATCGTAGCTGTAGATCCCATTACCTCCCGTAATCATTATATCATAGATAACTTTTACAACTAACTTCTGCAGGAAGAACAGTCATGCCCAATGAGCGCGCTTCAGTCAAACAGGCTAAGGAATATCTTACATATTAAGTAAATTGACCAGAAATTCAATGAAAACCTTGTTTTACTTTCCTCCTGTGCTTCGGGTTTTCGGCGGAACTTTTCCCACCGACATGTGGCCTAGTGAATGCCCAGGAAAAAGAAAACGAGGAAAAAAGGCGAAAGTAGCGGTGAGAAGAGAAAGCAAAAGGGAAAGTTTGTTTTGCCTGCTGCGCATACCCGTACCTCTCAAGGTGTAATTCAACATCAGAATCAAAGTCAGCGAGGTGCTCGACTTGCAAACATTAGTTAGAGCTCTGTTTGGCTAGAAAGAGTCAGAAAAAGACTCGACTGACAGGCTTCAATTGCCGTTTATCGGGAAGATGTGTAAGGACGAAAGGGTGCATTTTACTCGGTCCAATGCGATTACACAATTGCGAAATCGTTAGTTCTCGCAGTGCCTCCTAGCACGATTATGAAACTGGACTAAAGACTCATACACACATAAACTAAAAAAGATCAAACAAAATACCTATGTTTTTTCTTTCTGGCCGGGAATTCTTGAGAGTGAGCTTCCAGACTCCTGACGCGGTCTCACCCCAGAATTGCAATGTCAAGATTGTCCAGTTTGTCAGCGTAGTGAAATGGTCCCTTTTACGGGTCTGGATAAGACGCGATGTTGTCCCCGACGGTGATGTCAGATCCATTTCTAGGTCCCCTCGGCGAGTGAAGTTGAGAGTTACTCGGACCTGAACATGTTCCAAGAAATTTATATTATTAGGAGATATGTTCACTGTCAGTGTTTCTTCTGATGGAATCGCCCTGGAATGAACAAGAATAGTTCAAAGTTCGTCTGTTTTTTTTGTTTCATTACCGAGTGGGTGGTGTATGTGCTATCGAAGGCGTGTGGAATACAAGCAATAATTTATATTATTATGTACACTCTCAGTGATGTTGGCAACTTGATTGGTTCGCCATCTCGGACTATGACGTGTAATTGAGGGCTCACTGAGTTGCCTGAGTAAACACAAAACAATAGCTTCCTGGTGCCTAAGGCTCAATGCAACCTTAATTGAATCAGTAATCTATTCAATAACAGTCATATTCATGCTCAGTTGTATTAAGATATGTGAAAATGATTGATCAGCGGAGTAAGCCAAGCTGCTCTCCACACTGAAAACATGAGTCGCGGAACAAAAACACTGTAAGATCACCGGTCAAATCTCCTTTCTTTATCAGCTTTTACTGTCATTCTGCCATGGTCACGGTCTATTATCTGTCCTCCAACCTTATTAGCGAGGTTCTGTTATCGACGACCTTATCACATTTTAAGGACTTTAACTTCAGCTTCTTCCCTACAACACGTTTGGTTATATAACTTGTTTGTTTTTCAGAACAAGGCAAGGACACGGTGAGTCACCACTGGGCAAACATATCAACCCAGAATCTGGAATCATGCAGACCAAAGTCAGCAGAGAGAAAACAGCTAAGACCCGCGAGGCGAGAAGGCGCTTAAATTAAGAATAACTTGTTTTCAAAGCTGCCATAACTATGCTGACTAAAGGGAGAAGATGCAGTACACAATACATGTATATAGAGCTAAATAAACACATTTGCTCGTACGTTATTGTTCCGTATATTATCTCTCCTCTCATTTTTGACACATAGACCTGACAAGATACCGTACAGCCATTAATATTCACTTGTTATGTTACATTTGCTCGTCAGGTTTTGAGAACGTTTTGTGTTGCTCAGAATTTCTAAGGGAGGAAGGTATACAGTCTATACAAAATTGCCCATCCTATGACAATAGTTAGACCTCAAACAAAGAGGGCTTGAAGAACGCGCCACCTCATCATTTCCCTTGTCTACTTTTGCAGCTTTGCGGTTGTGTTTAATTTATTTTTGTAACCAAGATTTTAAAATAAAAGGAGTTGTTTGTTGAAAAAAATGAAAAATGCTGGGAAGTTACTTAGTGAAATGCGAAAAAGATGTAAAAAATTTGATAAGATGCTAATAATAATAGTGATGATGATGATGACAGCCGAACGTGTTTTAAAATGCAACAAGAATCGCCTGATAAATTTCGAGTCGCGGGTGTAAATCAAACAAAAGGTGAAGAAAAAATTTCATAATCTTATATACAGACAAAAAAAATACTCTATTTGGCTGAAAAAAGGAGTGCAAATTACAAATGGTTTCTGATTGGCTTAAAAGACAAAAACGAGAGCTAGTCAGATTATAACTGTTAATGTAGCAATATATTGGTGGAAAATGAGGCACTAAGGAAAATGGCAAACGATTTGATTTAGCTATGTAAAACGATATAAAACGGTGAGAAAAACGAGCCATGGTAGGTGCACTAGTTTGAGGGGTCGTTAGACATTAAAATAAGCAAAGAAGTAAGTTTTCTATCATTTTAACGTAAACTTCGAGCCAGTTATATTGTCCGCGTTGCAGGAGAAAGGTATCCCTTTGTTCTTATTTCTCTTCAGGTAGTTTATCCAGCGAACACGAAAACATGCGACGTTGGCGGTCTAGTTCTTGTAAACGTCGAGCTTTTATTACAATCGAGGATAATTCTGATTGAACATTTACTTTTGATGGTGATTATTGTAAACCGAGTTTTCTTAAAGAGGCTTGTTGAAAATCAATCCTTTCACGCCTCCAAGTTCTTTTTTGGAATGGCTTTGAAAGCGTTGGTCTTGAAAAAGTTTAAATTTTGACTGCGCGCGCTGTCAAAATTTGTTGTTAGGGATGTGTTTTTCGTGTTTAAAAATAAAATGAAATCGTATTATTTTTCTAGTATAATATCAAGGGTTACGAATTATTTGGCACGAAATTTCAGCCTTAATTTGTAATTTCACATGTGAAATTACAAAATTGCCTTCGCAACCTTCCGTACGTCTCAGTGCCAAAATGGCGACGAAATTTTAAAGTTTTACGAATGAACATGTCAGGGCATTAAAAGACGCTTTGGAAAACCTAAACACACGAAAGAACACATCAAGAAGGATTCTAACAGGTATTTTGTCGAGACATTCCGAAAATTCTGAGCTCAAGCCAAATTTAAGCTCTAAAATTTTGAGAGAGTGGAGTTCTCCGATGGATGCCATAAAACTAGGATAAACATGTCAAAAATCCACGATTGCAGTCATAATTCGTCACCTATAATATTAATAGGTAATCAAACGGTATACTCGTGAAATTAGAGAACAATTTCCGTATCATTTTGGTTTGGACAAAACGTCGTCGTCCCCATTTGATTACACATACCAATTTGGAATAAACAAAACACTTTTAAATTTTTCAAAGACCTGAGGAAAATTTACTCGTGCTTTAAATATTTATTCCCAATTGCACTTGAAATCATGTGATTATCTATACTAATTTCATGTTGTAAAGTAACATGGACGAACCTGTTAAGTAAACGTTTAGGTAATTATGCTTCTCCATGCTCTATTTAAGACTAACTTGACGAACCTGTTTTTCTGATGGCTCGATGTTGTGTAACTGAGCTGTGGTGGAACCTTTGTCCAATTCTTGGCGAAGGATACTAGTCTGTAGGCGTCCATTAGGCCAAATCCAACATAATTACTGGCTACAAAAGTAGAACTAATCATTTTAATAGAAGAGAATGGAACGTTGGCCGAATGCAGAAAACAGAAGGCCCGTGTTTCTTATACATTAAATGTTAAGCCAAAATAAACTTGCGTGTTGGTGATCAGGGGCTGCTGGAACTACAATTTTAATATTTCGAACAACATGCCTTCCTGCGTTTTTCTATCTAATATTAGTTCTTGTAATCTGGATCAGTTTTTGGAGTTTTTGGGGGGTTTAACTATAAAAGAAAACAGTTCATAAAAAAGACTAAGCGCAAATGCCACAGGGCCTGAGTTTTTTTTTAGACGGCGACTGAATAAATAAACTTCGAGCCCCCTCAAGGGTTATCCTCTTGGTCCTCCACCGAAGTTAGGTATTGATTTGTGGATTGCAATAGTTCCAAGTTTATCTTTGAAACAGTTACAAATTACAAATGTATTAATGGGGGCTTCGCTTTTAGCCTTTGCTAGACTCAGTTTGCGAAGTTGCTATCTAAAATCGATGTACATGATATGCGAGCAACTGTTGTAGGCTTGGTGAGCCCGTCCTGGCACTACTGGCAAAGGCTTTTTTAAATTTAGGGATAACTTACGCCGCCTAAACCAAGCACATGTTAAGATATAATCTACCCGTCAAATTGGCAGCGTTTGTGATCCAGTCCACTGCTTTAAGTATGCTGCCATCTGCCCTTGAACTTCTTATGATGATATGTTGCATGTCACGCCAGCTCAACTTTTTGCTGGTCGAAAACAATTATGAAACATATTAATGACGTTAAGAGCATTTCAGAATAGTTAAATTAACGACGTTTTGTTGCGTTAGAATTGGTTCAATGAATACATTTGATTCTGCCACCAAATGGTGTAGATTACACTAAGATAGCTAAATGGTTAACGACAGCTGTACTCTCTTGTGGTTTGTTATCTTTAACTGTATTTTCAAGGTTGAGCTAAATGTGGAAAAAATTACACAGACACACGCATAAAAGTTTAAGATGCAAGTCACTTCCTTCCTCAGTTCAAGCCGCTTTGCCTAACCGGAGAATAAGTTGAGTTTCTGAATAAACTTTAAAAAGTGGCTGGCCACAGTTTCTCTAAATGCTTTATCCCTTTATTGTGAACATATTTATCATGAGGAAATATGCAGCCAACGAGCTTAGAGGTTGTCAGAAGTTGTTAGTTGACATTTATTCCGGTTTCATCTCCTTTGACATACCGAGTGATCCCAGGACACACACAGATATTGAGCAAGCGTCGTACAGGGAACAATGTAAGAGCCACTGTTTTGTTAACTTTCATAGGCATTGTGAGCAAACGACAATATCTTTTAAGACAGGAGTAGTAGATTTTAGAAAAAAAATACTGATACTTCTGTTAAAATTGTACTTCAGTCAATGAAAGACGCAAAATAAAAGTTGAACAGGGAGGTTTGTTACTCACTCAAGTTAGTCGGATAGCTGTTTTCGTGATAATTTAAAAAAACTGTTTGTTACAATTTGGTTAAGGAAATCTGGACTTATAAGTTAAGGCTTGTTTTATATCATCCATGTTGCCATGACAACGATCGAAATCATAAGTTTCATTTAATAAATTTAGTGTATTGTAAATATTTTTTGCATGCCAAATTTGAGCTTTATAACTGTAATCTAGCTATCTGTCACAATCTGTGACCAGCCACCTTAAGAGGACGTTGATACATAAAAAAGATTCTTCTTTCCTTTTTCAAGATCGAACGCTCCACAGCATGTGAATACTCTCATTTGTTCGTCATAGGAAAAAAAGTTTTAACTGTAGAAAATAATAAACTTACTTTGATTCAAGAGCCAAAGCAATAAGTCCGGATGCCATGGCAGTAGCAGCAGAGCTGCCGGAGAACCTGTCTGTACATTCTCCATAATGGCTTGCTGTGATCTATGGTCAGAATCAATTCATAAATTTAGAGAATTTAGTGTTTCAGTAATTGTTAGGTTTTGTAGTTTCTTTAGGTCATTGGCACACTTGTCGGTATGGGCTTTTACATTTCGCAGTTAATGAATGACGCTGAGTAGGATAGGAAGAATTAAGCAGATCAAGGAGGGTGTTATCCACCGAGGCTGAAGGCTGAGATGGATAACATCCTCCGAGATCTGCTTAATTCTTCATATCCTACGAAAGCCGAATTTATTAATTGCTTTATTATTCATTCAAAATAATTCCTAGTTTAAAAACACAATTAAAACATGCTTACCTGCATCGATGTTAAGTTTATCTTCGATAGTGTACGTTTAGGTTTGTCCAGCTCCGCAAGTATTCTCCAAAATCGGATACAGCGGGAGGCTCAACAGAATAACGACAAAATGCTATGTTTTTAGCCATTATTTCGCCTAGTTCCAGCTGTAGTTCTTACTCTTGAAACGAGTGTCCGCCATTTTAGTTTTCACAACGAAAACAAGTCAACCTCGTGCCCAGGTCTTCTCGGTTAACGGTGCATTAACCTGCAGAGGGCTGAATTTTTGACGCCATTTCCTCGTTTAGCACAAAATTCTTCCAAATTTGGTCATCAGTAACTGGTTATGGTGAATTATGCGTGTGCTTCTAGCCAATCAGAATTTGGGAAATATTTTGAATGAATAATAATGTGCATTTAGTAACCTTCACGGTGCTGATCACGAGATCTATATAGGTGCTGACTTCTCAATAAGAATTGACTTTTGAGACAACTACCTTTGTTAGACCAAAATAATGAGGCCACTAACAAGTTGGCTTACCGGACATGTCGGTAACAGAAGATTAGTATTATCTGTATAAGAGATACTTGACTCTGTTAGTTGCTTCTTCTTTTTTACTTACCTTTGTACTCAGTCAACTAGCCAATCTAAGGCTGTAGTTCTCGTGGTGCTTTAACGATTTTACCAAAGCAAGGAACACGGCTTGTAAAGGAACTCCTGCCGTCAACCACTCTTTTCAGTAAAGGAATCTTCTTTGGGACAACTTAGCTATTGCCCTTTTATCGGAGGACAAAGCATGTAATTAAGGGAGGGACGAAGACCAAACACGACAGAACGAACAGAACGAAAGGGAATACTTTTAGTTTTTTTTTGAATATATGCTTTTAGCCTTGTGAAATAGCTCACTATTTAAAGGCATACTCATGACTTCAAAGCCCTGGGACATTTCAGCTATTTCATTTTAATGTAGGTGTGAGCGTGACGTAGATATGCTTACCACTTTATCTGCCCGAGTAAAGATTTCTTTACTGTAAGTTACTGCCATGATTCCTGGACAACGTTCCCCATAGCGTGGTACTGAGCCGTCTTTATTGACACCAGTTATGCCAATAGTGTATATACTGTTTATAAGACCATTAAAGGAACAGCTGTCTTTTGAATATCCGCCATTGCCCGCACCAAATACATACATTGAACCACGTCCTCTTCGACCCTAATAGTGAGCACAAAAGTCGATAAAATCAACCCAAAAGGATATTTGACCGTGAAAAACTTGCTTCTTACTTTTATTTCCAGTACGCTATATAGATCTTTTAAAAATTTAAGAAATCTTTGGACCTCCATATCTCTTCCTTAGTAGGTCAATTTAAGACGACAAATGCTTTTCTTGTCTACTCTACATGCTTTAATGAAACTGTCAATGGGAAATAGTGTTAAGATAAAAGTGTTGCGCAAACTGAAAATGTCGTAGAACGCGGTTTTGTTAAACACTGGCTAAACTCCGTTTAAATAACTGGCCCTAAGAGTTTAGATTAAGAACCTTTGAATCATCACTTACAGCTTTTCAAAGTTATGTTCCAGAAAGCGCTTTAATTGCCTTCCAAGTGAAATGAAAAATATAATGATGATTTTACAACATCCGAAAATTGACGAATAGCTATATAACCTTGTCATATAAGATTGATTACACTGTCACGCCTGTTTCATTTAATAAAAGTTTGTGCAATTTTGTTCTGGACATAACAAACTTCATAATTCATTCAAACTATTTCTCAGTTTTTGATTGGGTAAAATCCGAGTTATAATTCATCTTAGTATATAATAAAACAGTGGACGGTGTTTTTTGCGCTCTCTGATTGCTTAATCAAAGTCGGAATATCGAGAGTTTTACAGAGATTCACGTCCAACTCCTCCATGCGAGCGTAAGTTACGAGCAAAATGAGCTTAAATGGCTCTCCATTTTGCTGTCGTAAGAGGCCAAGAAATTTTACAATAATCAAACAAGCTGTTCCTGAAGTACACGAAGAAGGTGACGGAATTCGGTTCCGAAGTTTTAAGAGGGAGTTTGTCTGTTTGACTTGAATTTATCGATAAAAGTTTTTCTTTACAAAAGCAAATTAAGTCTTGAGTTACTTTATTTAAAAGCCTTTTTTACAGAGTGGTTTCAAATAGAAAAATAATTCACAACTCTTTTTGAAGAAATTTCCCCGCAAGAGATAAACAAGTGCCTTCAAAAGTTTTATTAGTCGACAAGAAAACGAGACGGCCCATCAGTCATTTTTGTGCTCAATTATCTCAGTGTTTTACCATATACTAAAACAGTCATTCACCTCGGTGTCGGTAGTCAGTGGTGGATATTTACCTCGACGCTTCGCGCATCGTTAAATTTAACCACTAGCCACCTCCACTTCTGTGAATAATTATTATATAACCAGCTACTGTCGACCAAATTTGGAAGAATTTTGCGATATGTGAAAAATGACGTCAATACACCGAATGCAAATTTGGCGGACCTCTCGGCCGGCCCGGGTCTAGTTGCGCGAAAGCGAGACTAGTGAGGCCTTAAGAGTTTTGTTCTGACTGGGCGTCTTAGCGATTGAGTCGATCGATATGGTTTACTTCGAGTTGATGCGTGCTTGAGCGCCACCAAAAAGGATATTTTACTCTAGCTGGAACTACCTTTACTTTTCCGAGATCTTTTCTCAAAGAAAGTTAAGGATTTATGTGATTCGGCACTGCGATGGGAAGCACTTTACAGCGAAAACACAACGGTGTACTCGCTTTACTTCCTTGGAAGAGACCGGACTCACAAATGTATTTGAATGAAAAAATTTTCGCAAGAGATGGTGCTGTTCCATGATGTTTGCATGGTCTGTTATTTATCCAACAAAAGGTAAACATTCTCCAGAAAGGGAGCATCCGCTGTCGACTTTAAGATCTTTTAGATTTCACGCTAGAAACAGCTGCAAAATACAACAATAGTGACGAGTGTGAATGAAACACAACAATAACAATCGCCTGTGTTAATCCTACAAGCGTGGCCTGTGAAACCATGTAAGAACCAGAAAAAAGCGACATGTTGAAGAACAGTCCCTTGATCAAAGTGCACTGAAAAAGACTAACAGAGAAACTTTCGCCAACTAAGAAAGTAAGAAGAAGGGAAAAGGTTCTGGCAGGGGAAGAGCGTGCAAGTATTCGAGCATTGTATTTGCCCTTGCACGTGATCTATTTTAGCAACTTGTCTAAGGGTTTCGAGATAAACTAAAAGCGTTTTTCTAAAAATTGCTACTTTTCTGGCACTGCTCAAACTCTTGAACGCAGGATCGTAAAGACTGTGAAAACATTCGGCCTCATTGTAAACATTTCATGAACTGTTCCTGAGAGCTCCTAAGGATTTCGACAGCGGATTCACCCGTTCTTGAGAATGTTATCTTTCCTTTGTAAGATAACGGACAAAGCGAACTTGAAACAGAACCATCTCTCAGTAATTCTCCCATTCAAATCACTCGAATCCATTTCTTTCTTCTTAAAGAACTTTGGCAAGGGGAAGATAATCAACTTTCGTATCTGCAGAAGTTAAATATCCTCTTTGATGGCTGTTAAGCAGTTAACAACTCAAAGCAAACCATATGGATCGAGTCAATCACTACGACGCGCAGGCAAAACAAAACTCTTGAGGCCTCACTAGCCTCGCTTTCGTGCAACTAGATCCGGGCCGGCCAAGAGGTCCGCCACATTTGCATTCGGTGTATAGGCCACTTCCGAGTTCCAAAACCCTCACTTTCAAAATGAGGCCAAGTGCACAACCTTTGTTGTGAAAATGAGTTTTATTTGCTTGAGAATGAAAAATCAGCACTTAACCTCGTTTTGATAGGGAGGTCTCGGGAAACTCGGAAATGAACTATTGTACAGCATATTGCGTCACTTTAGATAATACCATAATTATCTTTTTGTCCCCCGCCCCCGCCCAAAAAAATTTGCATAACCATTGTTTCAGTTCTTCTTGGGACGCTTCCAAGAGAAACTGAAAACAATGGAAAAGCAAACTTATGGGTGGAAGAGGGGGGACACAAGATTATTACAGTATTTTAAAATGGCGAATTGCCAGATCGTTGAACAGTTAACCGAGAACACCCGGGGTCAAGGTTGAGTTGTTTTAGTAGTGAATGTAACGTGGCGGAACATTTCAATAGTTTTAGAGGAAGAAATAGGCGAACTATTAGCTAAAAATATTGCTAGAACAGCAAGAAGACAACTCGATAGACAACATCTGCTATTTGGAGAATATTTGCGGTACTCAGGAACAAGCCTTTATCTCCTAAACTTGCCGATAAACAGGCAATTGAAGATGAGCTTAACATCGATGGAGGAAGGCACGTTCAAGCTTGTTTTTAAACTACGAATTAATTTGGATGGATAATAATTAAAAAAATTATTTAATTCCACTTGTGGAAATCTCGGAGGGTGTTAGCACCCTCGGAGATCGCCATAAATCTTCAGATGATACGAAAGCCGAATTCATTAATTGCCAGATATCTCGGTGCTACCATAATTATGCTTCAGGTGTCAGCCTATCTACCAAGGAGTGTACAGGGCTTTTTCAACAATTATTAAATCGTCCTTTTGTTTCATCTCACGCCCTCGCAATCCGAAAAATGCAGGTCACACTAAATACCTCTATTGCCCCCTTCCTAATGACTTTCTCGGTCATAACTCCAATTTCAGCTACTCCATAACCATTATCTTCAGGTCCCCAGCTATTAGAGTAGATGTCCACATAATCCTGTCTGAATCCAAGGCCTTTAGCCTTTAAGGCATCAGTCAGCTTATTGTCTAAAATCCTGATGCCTAAAACCAAAAGTAAAACAATAGTTTGCTTTTATTTTATAATAACTATTTTCTTTTCTTTTACTTGGAGGTCAGCCTACAGAAATATTTATTTAAGATCCTTGTAACGTTTTCTTCCCTCGGATAGAGCTCGAGCTCTAATATTGGCGTCGCTAAAAGCTAGTACGTGATAAGTGCGAACCTTAATACACCTCACGGGTTCTTACATGCCGAGCCATTTTTTAGGCAAACCGCTTCTTGGACGGAAACAAGAAACAAAAGAACATAAACAATATCACGTTATCAAGTTTTCTCCTGTCGTTTACTGTTCATTATATCTACAAAAAACATTGGTATTTCATTCATAAGAATCAGTAGGTTGAGTTTTTATCTGCTCATTTCCTAATTTGGGAAATAGTCAACTGAACATGACGTTTAGCCAAAAACTATCAAATGTTTCAAATTTCTAGCGGCAAGAGCTCCTTTCCTTCGATTAAGCATCCACCAGCCCTTTGGCCAAACCAACAATAAACTCTTACCACGTCTTCTTTAAATCAGTTATTATTTAACTAATTGGTTAACGACATCCAATCAAAAAGAGGCGATCAGCGGGACGGTTTCTTGCTGGCACGTATGAATCTTGCTACGCATTTTGACCGTTCAAAAACTGTGTGTGGGATTTTAATTTTCTTCGAGGGCTAGCTCCGAACCTTTTGGATGGATTTTCGATCGGAAGGTACGAGGAGAAGCGTGAATCTTTCGACCTTCTTGCCGCGAAGTTTGAAGGCGGAGCAATGCGATTTTTGGGGGGGAAAATGCTCCGGCGCTGGAGCCTTTTCAAAACAAAAATTCATCCCTTGTCCTTGTATTATTAGGAACAGTAAACGGCGAACACAAAATCCTTCAAAAACGCTCAAAAAACTGCTTTTGGGACAAAAAGACGACGATGTACCACAGTTAAGGTATTTCAACGTTCATTTAACATTGATTTATATATACCTGCCAACTCTCACGCCTGCGGGTTGAAAACTTCGATCTCACGCCGGCTCACGCTTGCGGACCAATTTCTCACGCCTGATTGAAAAATGTGAGTTGTTACCGTCTTGCTTGACATAATTTCCAAAAATATGTTAACTCAGACCCATGTAAGGAATGAAAACCATGTGTAAAATGAATAAATGACAATATCTTCCTCGCGATCGAACTATAGCGCTGATGTTATCAACTAACGTCGGTCCTTGTGGATAAGCGTTTTCTCGATAACTTCGCATTCGGCAGACTTCGGACGTCTTCGGAAGACTTCGGACTTCTTCGGAAATGATCGTGTCGTCTTCAAAAATCCCAGCACTCCCAGGATAAAAAATCTCACGCTTATATCTCAGAAAAAGTTGGCAGGTATATTTATATATATACTTAGCGATATATCGTTATAGGTAAAGCAAAAAGCGGTTACACACACACACACACACACACACACACACACACACATTGTGTGGGCCCACTGTGTGCAAACAAGTCTTAGGTGTGTAGAGTAGAGGACATTTCGTGTCGTATTACATGATGTAAAACTAGGGCTAGGACCTCGTGGTCAAAAAAGAGTAAAGTTTGAGTAAACACGGTCGAGACTATTACGACGACTCTCGCCTTGATTTATTACATTGGTGGCAGCGAACTGGGATATAAAGATCGAAGAAGATGGAACTCCAGCAGGAGCCGAAGGCGGGTTACCGAAACTAGATGAAATGTCCGCAGGCGCCGAAGGAGGGTTACCGAAACTTGAATCGACAGAACCCGTGCTGAAACAACAACAAAAGAAGAAACCACCGAAAGTAGAGCCACACGAAGGGGGCAGTGACCTGCAGCAGCTCGTAAATACCCTGTCTCAAGCTCTAAAGCAGAGTATGGTGGCGTCAAGCGAACAAAGCGAAGTTAGGAGGAACGTAAGAGCTCCACGCGTTTATTCGGTGGGCCAAAATTTCAAAACGTGGCTCTCGCAGTTCATGCAATACGCAAGTCTCGTGCACATCAAACCGGTGGATCGTCGAGCGTATTTGCTTACATTATTGGACCAACCGGCCTACAAAGCTGTTGAGCTGCTCAAGCTCTCGGAATCGCTACCGTTCGAAGAATTTACTGATCAGTTGACTCGAAGATTTGATTCGGGGAAGACGAAAGAAGATTACAAATTGCAGTTGCGGGCACGATGCCAAAAGCCAAATGAAGATTTCGATGGATTTGCGGATAGCTTGATGGAATTGGTCGAAAATGCGTACCCAGAGGCGGCCTATTCGTTTAAAGTGGAACTGGCAAGGGACCAGTTTCTTCAAGGTGTAGCAATTAGTGATGACATTCGTGAGAGAGTTTTTATGAGCCAGCCGAGTTCGCTCGTGGAAGCTGTGCGTGTGGTTCGCCAGTTGGAAAGTGCTCGTAAGGCTTGTCGCGCAGCTCCTGCGGTTGAGAAGAAGAAATCTGTTAATGTGATTGGTGCCTCGGCTGATAGTGAGAAGATTTCATCTGAAATACGCGAGCTCAAGGAATTAGTTCTTGGCATGAATGAGAAAATTCGTGAGCTGGAAATGAAAACGGAAGCAAAAACCGTGACAGCCCCACGGCGCCGAAACGAAGTAGTGTGTTACAATTGTCGTAAACAGGGTCATTTTGCACGTGATTGTCCGACTAATACAACGGGAAACGGAGCTCGGGGCCTGCCAAGGGCCAGACAGTCCCCGTAGGACCGGTACGTGTGGCCCTGTCAGACAGTGATGTCCGTGAGGTAAATTACAATACAACCGCGAATGACAGTGTAATTTCAGCCATATCTGATTCCGGGATCTATATTACTGGACTTGTGAATCATTGTTTAACTTGTGTATTGTTGGACACTGGCGCTACGGTTAGTGTGTTGAGCGAGGACACATGGAAGAAAAGTGGATATGTTTCTAAACTTAAACCAGTGATAGGAACATTAACGACAGCAAATGGCAATGAACTGACTGTCTTAGGAGAAACCCAAGTGAGATTTCGCATAGGAAACATGGATTGCTCCTGGCCTGTCATGATTGCGCAAGGTCTAGCACATGATTGTATTCTTGGTTCAGACTTTTTTCAGCAGTATGGATGTCAAATTCACTATGACACGGGAACCTTTGTGGTAGGAGATGCTGAAATTCCTATTAGATACTGCAAGGTCACACCTAGTGTTTGTAGACTTTATCTGTGTGCTGAAGTAGAAGTAGAGCCGGGGACTGAACAAGTGCTAGGAGCTAGATTGGAAGAGGGATATGAACAAAATACGGGAAGCCCTGGGATCTTGGAGGGCTCAAAGGAACTAAAGGGAAAATCGGAAATTTGCATAGCTCGTTCCCTTGTGGTTCCAAGGGCGGGACAGGCCCTTGTTCGAGTTGCCAACTTCTCGGATAGACCAATCAAGATACGGTCAGATGTTCCTATTGCCGAATATCACCCTATTAGCAGCGTGAATGGTAGTATAATTCCCATTGGAGTTGACTCAGAATCGAAAAGTACCTCTCGGCCACATGCATTCTGTTCGACCATTGACAGCACAGTGGGGAAGAGTGAGCAGACAAAAGGAGAGGGAGAAAAGTGGAGGACAATCTGTGAACAACAAAACCTGGAAGGGCTTTCAGAAGGTCAAAAGGAACAATTCTCGTCTCTGGTGAAAGAGTATGAGGACATTTTTGCTATGAACAGTTCGGATTTAGGGAAATCTGATCTCATGGAACATGAAATTAATACGGGTGATTGTACACCAATTAAGCAACCACCGCGCCGTATTCCCCCTCACCAAAGAGAAATCATTGACCAACAGCTGGATGAGCTCGTAGCTAATGGTAGGGTTGAACAGTCCCAAAGTCCCTGGAGTAGCCCCGTTGTGTTGGCCCGGAAACATGATGGAACTTACCGTATGTGTATTGACTTTCGGAGACTTAACCAGTACACACAAAAAGATGCTATCTCGCTGCCTAGGACTGATGATGTCTTAGAGGCCCTGGGCGGTGCTCAGTGGTTCTCGTGCCTTGATTTGGCCTCTGGATATTGGCAGATGCCAGTGAAGGAGGAGGACAAACCCAAAACTGCGTTTTCAACTCATCGTGGACAATTTCAATGGAGGGTTATGCCATTTGGTTTGACAAATGGGCCAGCAAGCTTCACCAGATTGATGAATCTGGCACTCAGTGGACTCACTTGGACACATTGCCTTGTGTACTTAGATGACATTATCATCTGGGGCTCTACATTTGAAGAACATCTTCACCGCCTACGGTTGGTCTTTGACAGAATACAAGCAGCGGGTTTGAAATTAAAGCCAACCAAGTGTCAGTTCCTGAAGAGAGAAGTTACCTTTCTGGGTCATGTTGTTTCCGGTGATGGAATAAGGACGAATCCAGAGAAAGTTAAAGCAGTTGAAACTTGGCCAACACCGCTGGACGTCAAAGAGCTTCACAGCTTCCTCGGTCTGGCTAGTTATTATCGGCGGTTTATTGCCGGATTCTCCATCATTGCGGAGCCACTCTATAAACTGTGTAGGAAGGACACGCCTTTTCATTGGCAACAAGAGCAACAATCTGCCTTTGAAGAGCTCAAACACCGATTAGTCAGTGCACCAGTCCTAGCCTATCCAGATTTTAACGCCGGTGCAGGGTCATTCATACTGGACACAGATGCTAGCCAACATTTGGGAATCGGGGCAGTCTTATCTCAGCTGCAACCTGATGGGACAGAACGAGTAATTGCATACGGGAGTCGCTCTTTGAACGAACATGAAAGAAATTATTGCACTACTCGGTTGGAGATGTTAGCTTTAGTCACCTATGTTGACCATTTCCGTTATTATCTGCTTGGACGGCGGTTCTGCCTACGAACTGACCACCACTCGTTAACCTGGTTGATGTCCTTCAAGGAGCCCCAAGGGCAAGTGGCCCGCTGGCTGGAACGCCTGCAAGAATACGACTATACAATTGAGCACCGGCCGGGGAGACAGCATGGTAATGCAGACGCCTTGTCACGGCGACCAAGGCGTCATCATGGAGAGTGCCCATCGTGTGTTCCGTCAGCCCGACCCCAGGTAGCCGCTGTGGCAGGGTTGCCAACGGTTCATAAGCAGTGTGAGGGGAGGGATATATGGTCGACTGCAGCAGTGGCACAAGCACAAAGAGAAGACCCTGATATTGGCCCGGTGGTAGCGCAGTTGTCACAAGAGTGGAAGAAACCGACGACTGAGGAACTTCAGCCCATGAGTCGAACCACTCGGGCAGTATGGGCGCAACTTGACCTGTTGCAGCTGAAGGGAGGAGTGCTCTATCTTCAGTCGCCTACAGACACCTCTCCAACTAAGCAACGGATAGTTTTGCCACAAAGCCTGGTTAGGCCAGCGCTTACTGAAGTTCATGATGGTCCTGCAGGTGCCCATTTGGGGAGAATGAAGACCCTGAAGAAAATGAGTGCGAGATTTTGGAAGCCGGGCTTGACAAAGGACGTGCATCGGTACTGCGATGGTTGCCTTACCTGTGCCAAGTGCAAGTCTAGACCAAAGCCAAGAGCACCTCTGCAGCCATTGGCCACTGGAAATCCCATGCAAAGGATCCACATTGACATAGTTGGACCATTACCTCGGACACGAAGAGGAAATCGCTACATTTTAACCGTGCAGTGCAGTTTCACCAAGTGGGCTGAAGCGTTTGCAATTCCTAACCAACGTGCCACAACTTGTGCAAAGGTGCTTGTGAGGAACTGGATTTGCAGATTCGGTGTGCCCGACAGCATCCACAGTGATCAGGGGCGTAACTTTGAGTCGAAGGTTTTTGAAGAGATGTGCCACTTGCTAGAGATCAACAAAACGCGGTCAACTGCTTACCATCCAGAGGGCAACGGGCAAATTGAGAACCTACACAAGACCCTTAAGAGCATGTTGAAAGCTAAAGTTGGAGGTAAACCTCAGAGCTGGGATGAACACCTGGATTATTGCATGATGGCCTACCGGAGTAGCATCCATGCCTCCACAGGGCACACTCCATTTGAACTGATGTTCGGAAGAGAGATGAGGATACCCTTGGACGTGATGATGGGTGGGGTTAAGGACAGTGAGTGCTCGTACACTGAATTTGCTGCTAATCTACAGGAGGATTTAGAAGGTGCATACCGGGATGTACGGGAGAATCTGAAGGTTGCTCAGCGACGCCAGAAAGATGCTTACGACAAGGGAGTGAAGCACACGGTCTATCAACCTGGAGATTTAGTCCTGCGCTACACCCCACAGCTAAGGCCAGGTGAAGCAAGCAAGTTTCACCGACAGTGGGATGGTCCGTTCGAGATCGTATCACAAGTCACCGAAGTTACGTACTGTGTTAGAAAAGTTGCAGGACGTTCTAGGAGGTCCAAGGTAGTCCATTTCAACAACTTGAGGTTGTACCAGAGAAAACAGGAGAAGGCAGTGGGTGAAGTAGTTACTGGTGGTTTGGGCACTGCACCTGCAGTGGAGACTGTTGAAGAAGGACATGCACAGTCGATGCCGGGAGAAGAAGATGGGACAGTTGTTGGGGTAGCAATGAGTGCAGATGAAGAAGAGAGTGAGTTGTTGGAAGGTGATCCTGAACTGTCAAGCCAACAACCCGATACGCCAGAGATTAGTGGTTGTCAGTCGGATGACGTCCAGCCCAGCGGGGCGGAAAGGGATGTTAGAAGTGATCCTTCAGTGGAAGCGCCAGACACTAAGGGCGGTGGCCCCCTTGTAGATACCCTAGATGCTACAAGCAAACCAACTCAATCTGACCCACCTGACCTCAGTGGCGAGGAGGAAGGGAGTGAACATGAAGGTGAAGGACTGGAACCGGAGCCTACTCTCCAGAATCGAAGACCGGTGCGAGTGAGAAGACCCCCAGACCGTTATGGAGAATGGGTTATCAGTAGTCTACAGCAAATTGTAGATCGCGTACAAATGCTGGAGGACAAGCAGACCATGGAAAAAGATCGGATTAAGAAACTGAGACCGAAATTGTTAAAGAAGGCTCGAGCACTAAGAGGATATTGAGACTGTGATTTGTTATGGACAGTTTTTTTTTTGTATTAGTTTTCTTTCCTTTGCTTGTGAACTGGACTGGTTACTTTGACACTGTTACACTTTCAAGTGTTGTCCGTGAATCCGGAGACTCACCCTTTTAATTAGAGAGGGGATAGTGTAGAGTAGAGGACATTTCGTGTCGTATTACATGATGTAAAACTAGGGCTAGGACCTCGTGGTCAAAAAAGAGTAAAGTTTGAGTAAACACGGTCGAGACTATTACGACGACTCTCGCCTTGATTTATTACAGGTGTAAGTAAGTTTAGCCACCCTCCTCACTTGCTGGCAAGTTTCTCTGTCAGCTCAGCCTATGCCTTTCCCAAAATTTTTTAGGCATGACGATATGAACAGATAAATCGTTTAGAATATTGGGCATAAAGTAGCTGTTTCAAATGTGCCATTTTCGAGCTTTAAATCGGTAAATAATATTGTTTGCTTTGGACCCCAGGACGAGATCTCCACGCTTTCTGAAGGAAATATTTGCCAGCAAATAGGATTTTTTAATGTCTTTTCCCTTTTCCAACTGTAATTAGTAAAGTATTCCCAGTGGGCCTGGACGTGCGGAGCAGGTCATTATGTTAGGATAACCCCCCTCTACGGTTAAGCATTGGTCATATCATCATCACGTTACTTGCAACGGATACATCTTCAACAATAAAATCTGAGATGCTTAGAAAACATGCATCCCAGAACCAATATGCAGTGCAGGTGAGGCTGTTGCCCCAGCAGGATTATTACTACTGTCCCCCATACTACTATTACAAACTGCCAAATGGTGACGACCACTGCACTTTAAGCACTGAATTTTGGTGTCACAGTTACAGGCTAGGTGCCCCCCACGGCGCAGGCAATTGAAATACCTCCCTTGTTTCTTCAAAATTTCTCTTCTTTCATCCATATTTGTTACAACTTGGCACTCAGACGCTCGGTGATTTCCTTTGCACACTTTAACTCCCCACGATTTCCGCTCAACAATGCATTTGCAGTCGATTCATTACCAGGGTTAAACGATTTCTTTAATGGCGATTTTTTCTCCACAGATGTATTCATACCACACCTTTCACGGGCCTCCACTTCATTTTTTACAGCTGTTATTACAAAAGTTAGCTCCCAGTTATCCTTATGTTCCCTGTTGACTATTAATCGCAATTCGTCCGGCAATTTCGCCATGAATATAAGAATCAAAAGAGCTCCATACTGTGCAGAATCTGCTGCGCATGGTTACACCTTTTTGTTACTAACTCCTTTCTCGTTTGTTAAACTATTAGAAAAAATGATTGATGAGTTGAAATTGTATTAAAAAATGTTGAGTCGGCACCAGGTAAATCATTTGTCGAACAAAATTCATTAGCTGCGTATCAAAAAGTGTCCAAAAACTGAACCTGAAAGTGAAAATTGTATACAATTCGCCGACATCTTCGCAAAAGTGACTCGTGTAAAAATTCAACTTGGATGGTGTAGGATCAAGATCGTGTTTTGAGCTAATTTTCTGAATGAACATACTCAAAACAATAGACAGAGAAACCGTTTCTTGAAAATGTTTGGTCAAAATCCAAAAAGTCCATCCTTTAAAGCAATCTGCGTAGTAACATTATCTGGATTGTGAATCCGTTCACGCAAGTAAAATCGGCTGAGCACATCGCAAAATTCAACACAAAATCCACCTTAAATTGGGGCGCATTTTGTAATTTTTCATGAGCGCGGAAGAAAAAATTTTTAAAACGTGTATGAAACAATTATAATTACATAAATGCCATTTCTAAAACGTAATTCTCTTAGCCACAGAGACCAAATTGTACCTGAAAATTCAGCGAAAACTTCGCTGCCTTGGTTGCATTTCAAAACACGGGCGGCCCAGACGTAGTATGTGTCAAATGAATATATTAATATTCACATGGACAAAATAGGATGAGTCGTCGAAACTCCCATGAACTAAAATAGTCCAAAAGTCAAAATATAACAAAACAAAGCTAAGATACCTTTAACTGAACGTATCCTTGTCTTTCCTGGCCGGTGAAAGTGGCATTTTGTTGAGTTTTGCAATTGTAGGTACTTTCACTAAAGAAGAATTAAAGGCTGGCTACAAAACGAACAGACCATCTCCACGCGCCTTCACGCGAAGCGCTATAAAATCGAGAATAATCGACGAATCCGCTCCAAATTGCCATCGGCTAATCTGCAGGTAACGTGTGCTCCTGCTTCTTGCTCGCTGGCTCCACAAAACCCATCGTAACCGCGCAATAATCGCTCGCTCATCAACAAACACTGTTGAGCTTTAGGCTTCGATATGACCGCAAACTACCAGGCTTAATACGCGACGTGAATGTTCAAGCTTAGCGACCGCGTGCGCGCAACAATGCAACACTTGTTATGGGAGGAATGGTACTATTGCTTCGAGGTCAATCAATCGGAAAATAATATTGAAGCCCTTGTAATTTTGCAAAAGATCGAATTTGCCCTAGGATCACCGAATAGATACGAATTTTATAGCGAAGCTAAAAAAATTGAGCGGCAGTGGAAAAAGTGAACAAGAACAGGTACCACATTTCCTTCATAAAAAGTGAAAACCAGGAAGTTTTCTGGACGTTTCACGTTGTAGTCATGCAAATCAACGGCAAGGAAATGTACAGGAAAGTTTGCTGCAATTAGACCTATTGTTGTTTTTTTACAGTTCTGGTCAAGGCCATCCAACGACTGTTTTCTGTAAAATATCTCGGTTCGGAGAGGCAAATTTTGCCGAGAATTAATTTTCTTTCACTTGGCTAAAAATTTCTAGATGACCATTCCATTCATGTACAATTTTCGAAGCTCATCTAATCTGGCTAATAAATTCCCTACTATTTTCTGAAGTTTAATTTTTCACATTTCACTCCCCGGGTTAGGCTATTTTTCGTAGCGAGTAAAAAGGAATCCTAAAATTTTCGGATTCAAAAATGTGATGAAAGAAGGAATCTGAAAAATTATCTCCTTCGTAATACGTTAAATTGGATCTAAAATTTTCGGGAAAATAATTCTGAATTCCTCGTAATTTCGAAAAGACTCAAGTTCCCCTAGAATGGCTGAACACTAAAATACAAATTTAATAGCGCCACTTAGAATGCATTTCTATAGAGCTAAAAGGACTTCATGAATAGCTACAAAAGTGTTTTCAACGTATTTGAGGAAACAGTCGTTGGGTGCCCCTCTCTCTCCTCTCGTTCCCTTCTCCGCTTAGCATTACACGATTTTACAAGGTTTTTCAAAAGTTCGTTCCGATTGTAAATTGTAGTTTGCGCAAAGCATTTAATGCTTCTTTAGGCAAATGTAAATTGATTCAGGTAAGAAATTTATCTAAATAACCGTTCAAAGCAATTTCAAACTAAAATTTGAAGAAATTATATACTTTTTTTAATTTTTGCCCCAACTGTACACGTACGCGAGGTTTTTCCTGCCATACTTTTCCTGCCCATTTTGAAGGTTTTCTATTTTGGTATTTTTAACGTTTTCTTTTCGTTTCTCTACTCTGAAGGCCTACACTGTTTTTGCTAGAGGTCAGGCATCTATTTTTATGGTCTTCTGGCCATTCAGTCTTAAAACTAAATTGCCAAATTGCTGAAGAAGTCTGAACGATGACCGAACAAGTGGTCAGTAGTAAAGACCTTAGAAGACAAACCAAGGAGTGGATGGCCGTTTTTTCAGAAACTGTGTGAGAAATATTATGGAAAAAGCTGTAAGTATATGCGTAATAATTCCACAAAACAGAAATGTAAAAAAAAAATTAACTTCACATTATCGCTCAAAGTTTCGAGCACAACGGTATGGGGATAAGTTAACAAAAAAAGTTGGAAAGCATTGAAGAGAAAAAGGCGGTGCACACTTCATGCAAGGATGTGTCAGAAGGATTTGCCAACTTTATACCAAAGGAGGACCGGCCGGCAAACTCACATGATGTGAACCCCCTAAAGACCATCTGGATTATCGTAGACGAGACAACATACGAAGATCCAGCCCCCAAAACACTGGACGAGCTGAGACAGTGACTACGCTTCGCCTGGAAGAATGTGACTTTGGACACGCTTTGGGAGCTCGTACATTCTATACCTCACCGCTTAGAAAATGTCAGAAAACATACAAGAAGACATTCTGGTTACTACTATTTTAGTTATTCAATGTTAAATGAATAGTGGATAACATACTAAGTTTTACGAAAGGCTTTTTTTAATATTTAGTAAAATTTAAGCGAATAAAAAATCGGAACGAACTTTTGAAACACCCTGTATATTCAGTATGAGCAAACTATAAATATTATCAAGAGCTTCGCTTTTAGCCCTCCTGAGTAAATTTATGTATTAGCGCTGCTTAGAATGCCGCATTTTTAGATCGAAAGTACTCTGGGCAGCCTTAAATGTGTTTTCAATGCATTTAGGGGGAAATCGTCGTTGGGTTCCCCCGAGTTTTGAAAATAATAATCATAAAAAAAATATCGCGCACATAAATTTTACTTTACCATATCTTCAGCTGTATCTTCTATTTAGCTGCATAGCCGGGACCAGTTTTTGCCTTTTTCCTGGGCGGAAAATTGTCGTCCTCCTTCACCAGTTTGGACAACATATTGTGGAGTAAGACGTTGTTCTGGAAAGAACTGATTATTTAATTAATCTAAGCAAATAGGTCTGGTAGAGTCAACAACTTATGCAAGCGGATGGACAAACAATGTGACAGCAGCTGTGACAGCGAACGTTAGAAGAATTCGAACTTACAAACTAGGGCCGCGCTGTTGAAAACTTAAGGACGGTCGCGCGATCGTCTTTTGTTTTCTGGTCAAAACTAACGCAGCAGACCCTCGCTCAGTGTCGATTGACCTCGAAGCAATAGTACCATCCCTCCCATAGCAAGTGTTGCATTGTTGCGGGGACGCGGTCGCTAAGCTTGAACATTCACGTCGCGTATTAAACCTGGTAGTTTGCGGTCATATCGAAGCCTAAAGCTCAACAGTGTTTGTTGATGAGCGAGCGATTATTGTGCAGTTACGATAGGTTTTGTGGAGCCAGCGAGCAAGAAGCAGGAGCACACTTTACCTGCAGATTAGCCGATGGCAATTTGGAGCGGATTCGTCGATTATTCTCGATTTTATAGCGCTTCGCGTGAAGGCGCGTGGAGATGGTCTGTTTGTTTTGTAGCCAGCCTTTAATTCTTCTTTAGTGAAAGTACTTACAATTGCAAAGCTCAACAAAATGCCACTTTAACCGGCCAGGAAAGACAAGGATAAGTTCAGTTAAAGGTATCTTAGCTTTGTTTTGTTATATTTTGACTTTTGGACTATTTTAGTTCATGGGAGTTTCGACGACTTATCCTATTTTGTCCATGTGAATATTAATATATTCATTGACACATACTACGTCTGGGCCGCCTGTGTTCAAAACAGATCATGCACCCTGCCGTGAAGAAAACAAGGTTGAATTCCTCGAAGAACGATTTCTTGATGAAAAGCTTCCCTTCCTCCACAAAATGAAAACCGAGCATTCTTTTGAACTTTCTCTCTCCATTTTGTGTCTTTTAACGGTGTAATTTTAACCTTGAAATGGAGGAACTCTGGTCTTGAAACCAACGCATGGTGATGGCGCGAAAGCCATTTTGTTGAAAATGGATATTCTTCACTAAGATTTCCAAATATGGTGAAAGTGAATATTCACGAGCATTGAACGCGAGGTACACCTTTCAACCCCTTACGAGTCTCTGTTGTTATCTATACACAAATTAATTTGCTTACCGCTGATATTTGCTGAATAAGCTATGCCAACTCCACAATATGAATTATTTGCCACTGCCGCAATCACACCTGCACAGTTGTTACCATGGCTTTTCAAAAGGGGAAAAAGAAAATACCCGTTAGGTGGGGCTAGAGGTACTGTAATGATGTGGTGCCATCGCGAGGGCGCATCGTCGGTACCAGGTGAACATACAGTAAAACCCCACGTATAAGAATCTGGATTTTTTAATTTAGCCTTAACAGATTCTTATATAAATGGTACTTAAAGCAAATTTAGACTACCAAGGTTCTTAAAATAGGTTCTTATATTTTCATATGAATTTCATTTAAATATATTATAAATATCATCTCATAATACAATACAAATCATTTATACCATACAGTAATGCCTAAAGGCAGTACAGTGCAGCTATGTCCTCAACAAAACCTAACAAACAAACTCGTAGTCAGTTCGCTGAAATGCCATTTCAAAGTTGATACTAAGAAAATCTTGGGACAAATACAGTACATTCATAACCAGTTCCACTGATAAGAACCTAACTTAAAATTTCAGCCTGAATAGGTTCTTATGTGGAGGGGGCTTAAAACGAAAATTTTAGCCTAACTGGTTCTGAAAACCCAGGTTCTTATACGCGGCGTTTTACTGTATCACATACCCCCTTGTTCCAGTGTCGCCGCGAAGGTAACATAAGAAAGATACACCAAACATTCTTTAGAAATCCAGTATAATCCTCGTAAACTGTATCGATTCTGCGATAGAATTTCACCAGGTAGCTACAGATTTTTGTTTACCGTCTAATTTTTCCATTGATTTTGACTTTTAAATGAAGTTTATGTAAAGCCTACTGAGAAACCCTTGTTACGGGGGTCCGCGGTGAAATAAATATTCAATGGCACTGTACTTCTTTATAGCTGGCTACGTGTTTTGTAGTAAAATAAGCAAACAATGCTAGAAGGTATCAAAGAAGCTGGCTAGAGGTACTCGGTATGCGGTGAATAGTATATGCATGACCCACTATGACTCAGGATACGTCTACACGAATCCCGGATATTTTTCAAACCGCATATTTTGTTCACGAATCCGCCCTCCGTCCACACGAAACCAGTGAATCCAGACACCGAAATCGCATTGTTTGGAAACCGCTCTCCAGAGCGGTTTAGGGCCCCGTCCACACGAATCCGGATAAAAAAAGTGCGGTTTCGAAAATGTTCGGATACGTGTGGACGTGGCCTAACATAACGAGTAGATATCTTACTGAACTGGCCTATATACACGAACACATGTACGCGAATTTCACAGGTTCAAACAGCGTTGACCTCCGAACACTCTACTGTATATGTAGCTTTCTGTCGTAAAACGGTTACTATAGTTACAGTAGCCTCCGCTGAATACAAGAAAAAGTAAATGAATGCTACTTAATTGGAAGCGTGTCGAAAAATATTACTAATGGACTCCCAGGGGGGTACTTTGCCTCTAATCATCATTACACAACGCCAAAAATAAAAATACTCCAAGTTTTAGAAGATGAAAATTTTCTGAGAAAACGTGGAGTCGATGCGGAGTCGATTGGGTTCTTTAGAATGTTTTAAGAGTATAACAGCGTGCATTTTTGTCTCAATTCTCAGTCGACTGATCACTTTGATTACCGAAATGAACTTAAAAAAACACCATGCATGCAACAGTCAGAACAAATAAGCAGCGACGCACCATGAGTCCTACGAACAAATCTTACAGAGGACAGGATAATTTAATCAAAAAAACATATTGTCGTCATTGTCGTGTATATTTCGTGTAATCTAATGTTTTACCCCTTTCATTTATATGTAAAAAGGCATTACAATCAATCAATCAATCAATCAACCAATCGATCAAATCAGGCGAAATTATGCATTGTCTCGCAATTCCCAGAAAAGACTTGAGCACAAAGAAAACTAAACCAAATATAGAAATATGACTAGAAGCCTCGGAGTCATGTTAGAATTTTAATATATCGAAATTGGGTTATGACCCCGAAATAGGGTCAAGGCAAGCCGGGAAGATGGTAATATAATCCTCTCTAATTTTCCATCCTCAAAATTTAGTCATTCATATGGGCCTGCAACCGAGGATCGTCTGACTATACAGACCGGTTAAAGAACATGTATTTGTGCATTCATTAATCGTATGCAAGACTAGCTTTCGCAATTGTTTCGTGCACTTTTGCGCTCTTCTTCGAAAACGTTTCTTGAAGCAAGGGCGGCCAAAGCTGGGTACATATATTACCTTATCACAAACCGTAGAAAATATGGCTTTGAATGTAGCTGAGGTTACACAGAAAACAGTGTCGAAAGGCATGCAGCACATTATGCATCGATCTTAGACCTCTCGTGCTCAAAATAGTCTCTTGAGGAAGTGTTATTCAGCACTGAGCTTAAATTAACTGTGCACGGGAAAAAGTTACGGCACCTGGACCAAAGAACTATTTAAGCGTTTTCACTCACATGGTCAGCATCTATGGAAGTTTGATGGAACTCGCACAGGATTAGTTTGGAAAACCAATATGGTCGCCGCGACGTCATGTGGAAAAGGTCATACATAATATATTGGTGCCAGGAAACAAATTAAGATGAATGTCAGGATCAATTTTTTGACGTCACACACAATGGGAACAGCGAGGAATAGAATATGGACAACTTCCAAGACACTTCAATGTCACAAAGATACAACACACTTTTCAATTAACTTTTCAATAATATTTTTTTACCACTGTTCCAATGTAATAAGCATAACAGAAAGTGAACTTTACCTTACACTATCGATAGGATCACTTGAAGATGGATCGTTATCATTCTCAATGAAGTCAAAACTGGCTTTTGGATCCTGTTGATTAAACAACCACGTCTTATTACCGTTAAGTCTGGGATCCATAGATCCATAGAATGGCCATAAAAATAGTAATTGGTAAAAACAGAAGAATGAAAATGAGGCACGCTGCAGTAAAAAGCGTAGATGTATATAGAGCGAACCCTCCGTTTATAGTGAATAAACCCCTTTTTAAAATTCCTGTCTGAAAATCCGGAGGTTGTAGTATTTCTTCACAGCACATTCACGAACAAAAACCATAACTGCTAATTCATTTTTATACTACTGCCTTATAAATTACGGTTATTTGACTGCCTGATAAAAACTGTATCCATATTTCAAACAACAATTAAAAAACCCCAAAACAAAAAAGCACGTCTACCTGGCAAAACGTGCGGATCAGCTGGGTCAAAAGTTAGAATTTTTAACCTTTTTGTTGGTAACAACAAAACACGAGGAAGGGTTTCAAGGAATTTAAAAATCTAAAGTGAACGGCTTAGAGTACACATCAACAGTTTAATAGGAGTAATCTCTCTATAGTTAAAGATAGAAATATTTGTTAGCTTTAGGTTAATAAAGTAAAAAGGAAGACTAATGCTCAACAAAGTTTTCATGAAAGGCCTAATGCTGCCAAATCAAAAGCATAGACCGGTAACGACAAATTTCTATGTTCCAAAATAAAAGGCGAATCCAGGAAATAGTTTCCTTTTTTTAACCCAGTTGTTTCACCAACAGACTCAGGATTAAATGCCACAAACAAAGACCACGAAAACACGACGGAAAAAGCAAACATTATGGCGTGACATAATGTAATCTATATCAAGGCGTGGTAAGCACAGATACTAGCATAGGCCTTTACACAAATATCACCTAAAATTGCCTAAATATCTTTCCGGGAATTCTGAAAAAAATGTCTAAATATCCCCAAAAAATTTCTAAATATCTCGAAATATCTCGTATTTTTGTGTTAAAAATAAGCCGATTTTGAATCCCTTAGGCCAAAATTTTCTCCAGCCGGAGCTGAAAAGTATGTCAGAGATTGCCTACACTAGTATTATAGAAATCAAATAAAGTTCAGGCTCATTGTTTCCAGCATCCGCCATTTTAACAAATGGCTGATAGTGATATGGAATACATTATTCAAGTGGGAAACCGCTAAGTTGGATTATTTTGAGCATAGAATGATAGAACTGAGTATTCCGTTAAGAAAATAGCGAAGAAAATCTGGAAAACAGCCAAAAAAAGCTGTAAATTTTTCTAAATATCCTAAAATTTACTAAATATCTCGGAAACTTCTAAATATCCGAATATTTGTGTAAAGGCCTATACTAGCATTAGTTCAGTCAATCAGGTTAAAGTAGGTCACATGACTGGCCATAAAATGGAGTTCTAGGGGATGTTCTTCCTTCTCCTTCTTGCCATCAGACTGTTTTGTCGTAGTCGCGCAGCCGGACAGCATGGAAATGTACCAAAAAGCGTGATAACCGTGCAAAGTTGTTGTTAAACCTATTGCTTTTTTGAGGGCGCAGCGCGGGTTTCCAAATATGGTCCTTAAAAAAAACTAATATGGACGAGCATTAAACGCTAGTTACACATTTCGATCTCATATGAGTTTCTTGTAATACTTAATGTAAAATGTATTAACAGTAGTTTAACAGAAGAGCGCTATACTCACAAAATTTTGCTGTAATTCTCGATGGTTTTTTTCTAATCCCTCATCCACCACCGCAACAACAATTCCTTTGCCAGTAAAACCCATGTTCCAGACTTGTTGCACATTGTATGTTGGTAGGTCTGTCCGCCTCTAAGAATCAGAGTTAATGTGAAAATTTCCCATTGAGGATTTGAAGAATGTTATGTACGTTTTAACCAATCAAAGATTGCAACACGCAATCAAAGAAGTAGTATAGGAGGGACCGGTTAGGCCCCTTTTTTACGCAGGAATCTCATCAGCGTGCGCAGGAAATACATTAACTAGGTGACGTCATAGGCTATTGTCTTGATCTCATGAATAAAATGCGCAGGTATGCCATTAAGATAAGGTCATGTGCTATTTTTAGTTGGTTTAGGATTTCTAGTTACTTTAAGGTCGATAAACGTCTTCCTTTTCGATTGGTTAGTTAGAAAATAAGAAACGTTTTTATTGGTTAATTCATACTGTCTGAGGAGTAAAGTCAAACTTGTCTGTGACTTAAAATCACGGAGGCGTAATGTAATTATGCAAGTTGTGATTGTCCTAGTTCCGGTTC